TGGTTAGTTAAGGCTGCAGCCCCCAGGTTAGTTAAGGCTGCGGACCCCAGGTTAGTTAAGGCTGCGGACCCCAGGTTAATCAAGGCTGCGGCGCCTGGGTTAGTTAAATCAGCAACACCTGAGTGTCCATGCTGATGTCAGTGTCAGCTTAGGGCCCCCAGTTGAGTTAATCCATTTCTTGTTAACAATGGGTAAAGGTGAAGTGACATTGAAAGAACTGTAAAAATCATAAATAACTGTTTAGCAAAGAAATGAAACATAATGATGCACTATTATCAAATCAAATAAGTGTAAAGGTCCCCTGTGGTCCTTTGAAGCACACTTCTCAAATATTACTTGTAAGAATTCATATTTCACAGGTGGTACAGTTAAAAATCAATCTTACCTTGGAAGTCTCACTTTATCTCCTCTCACAACATCTGACACCTGGAAATGAGGGAGATATTTACTGGTCTTCATAGAAATTATTGGGGCGCTTGCTTATTTCAGTAAACAATATAGCAAATTTATTTGTTTTATAATAAAAAATATTACTTTATTCATTTGTTTACAAAAAATATTACCATACATTAATATTATCACATTAGAAACAATCGGCAGTTTTAAGAAAAAACATTAATTTCAAGTAGTAATAGATTGAAACCCAAAATATAGTCCTAAAACAGCTCTTCTGAGTTAAAAAGTTCATTGGCAAGCAGTCTCATTTGGTGCTTTTTAATTAGTAACACCTTCACAATAACAAACACCAAGCATTTTTGTTTAGTATCCCTTTGGGAGCCAATGACTACAGTTGCAATTAATAGCAAAATGCAAGAACAGAACTGAATGAGTCAGACAAAAAATGATGACACTTAGTAAAAAGAGTATGTTCGTGCAGAAGATTTGTGCAGATATGTTCAACATTACTTGTCAATGGACTTTTGTTAATAAACCAATAAATCTGCAATATTTTTACAGAATTAATCAAGCGCCCCAAGACTTTCTGTGAGCGTGTATTTTAATGTCATCTAATCACACCCGCTTGGCAACTCCCTCTTAAAACTCTTTTGGGTCCTGTTTATTGTGCTGGTCGCATCTCAGATCATCATTTACCAAGTTAAAATAAGAAATATTATATTATTCTGATTGGCCAAATTAAATTTGAGCAGTAAAATCTGCAACAGGATATTTATTTAAAAACCTCAGTCTTAAAGAAGCAAGGATGAGCCAAATTTTTGGAACCAGGGTTGGAGTCTGCAGGATTCAGTGTGTGCTGGTGCCCTGTGGTGGGCCGGTTGGGTCCTGGGTTGTTCCCTGACTTCTGTGGCCTCTGAGATGGGCTCTGGACCACTGTCACCCTAAAGAGAACAAGCAGTGAGAGAAAAAAGGAGGGAAATTGAGGCATTAGCTTCAATGTCTTTAAATCTAATTACCTTAAATTACTGTACCATTTCTAAATAATTATAATTGTATCTTAATTTCAGTTTTATCCCCCCCCCCCCCAATTTGCTGTTGTGTAACAGCTCTCAAAATCTAAGGCTTTCTCTAAGGTTCTCTCTAGATAATGGGAGGGGGCATGGGGGCTATTTTCCTGGGACTCTGCATAGGCTACTGGAGTAGTCCATGATGGGCCCCACTGGAAAGCCGATCCGCATTATTTACCATGGAATACCCAGCCTAGACTGATCCTGGAGGCCGGGCATCCTCAGAGAAGATCTCTTTCTCTGCTTTATTTGCATTTACCTCTGTCAACAAGGCTTCCTTTAAAAGCCATGAATCAGGGCTCTCTATGAGAGTGTGTGAGATAGAGAGAAGCATTTCTTTTCATCGCCGATTTCAAGTAAAGGACCTTTTCATGTGTTTGAGCTACACTAATGGATGTCTGTTTTATAGGAACATGCTCTTTATTTAAGAGAAGTACCAGTATGTATTTTACCTGGAGCATGATGGAGAGTTATCGCTTGCTCAGTAGCAAGGGAAAGGTTGGCCTTTTATGCATCCATCTATGGCTGAAACGCTACAAAATAGAGACAAATCAACACATACCCCCCCCCAACCAGACAGAAAAGGGATGACCTTATTCAGGTGTAAATATTTGGTCCCTCAGATAATATCTCTGAGTGGGAAAGGCCCAAATACCACGGGCCTTTGGTTTCAACATTAGGTTTGGTTTCAACATAGGTAGGGGCTAAATCAGCCCCGAACCCCCCTAAACACGCACAGTACTTCCACAAAATTGGTCGGTACATGTCCCTACCATCCATACCCAAATTCACACCCAAAAACACACAGAGATACACACACACGGTATGTTATAAGCCCATCATCAGTGGCTAACTGTGAAGCATTTGAAAAGAGGAGTGTGTAGATTACATGGTAATAACAGTAGGGCCCTCCTACCTGCACATTGGGACATCCATCCATCCATTTTCCAAACTGCTTATCCTACTGGGTCGCGGGGGGTCCGGAGCCTATCCCGGAAGCTATGGGCACGAGGTGGGGAACAACGCAGGATGGGGGCCAGCCCATCGCACTGCACACTCACACACCATTCACTCGCACTTGCACACCTATGGGCAATGTAGTAACACCAATTAGCCTCAGCATGTCTTTGGACTGTGGGGGGAAACCAGAGGAAACCCCACGACGACACGGGGAGAACATGCAAACTCCATACACATGGAACCCAGGTGGAGACTTGAACCCTGGGCCGAGAGGTGTGAGGCAACAGTAAGAACCACTGCACCACCGTGCCGCCCCCTCATTGGGACATTGCAGGCATTTTTGCTAGCATGAAACCCAGTTCTTCAAATTCAAAATTTTGGACTCACCCAGACCCCTGTGTAATAACAGGTCATACTAGCAGTATGTTTTTTTCCCAATCAGATATGATAAGAATCAGTTGTGTTCTGTGCCAGTTGGTGTCATGGTAGTTAGGCAACTGCACTGGAGTTGTGTTTAAAAACAAAAATCTGTGTTGCAACTGCAAAAAATGAGGTTAAGCTTTGTAGCAAATCATAGAGGGTCATTCCACAAACATTTATGAGTTTGAAAGTGAGACTGTGTCGTTTCAGTGGTCGAACTGTCACCAGTAGTAGCTTTGCCGTTAGCGATGTCGCTCTCACACGGTATCACTCATGCTTTTCGGTTGACATCACCGCTTTATGCGGTCAAGTTAACCCATCTTGTAAGATTCTGATGACGCTCATCTTTCCCAGCATGAATTATTGATTCTTCATGGCCTGTCTTGTATGGTGACATCATCCCCACATTGTTGGAGACGCCATCCCAAGAGAATAGATAACGAGAAGCTCTGAGTGCAGAGGTGGCTTTTTAGCCCCCCCATCAACATTAATTAGTAATGTTAACACCAAAGTAACATGTGTAGATGTTGTGCAGGGGGACTGGGGTCAGAGGCATGACCTCACCAAGATGGGTGACATATCATAACAGATGAGGGTACAGCACAGCCTGGCAGGCCGGGGTTACACATCACCCACCAGCTGTCGGTCTCGGCGATGCCTACTGACACTGGCTGAATGAAGATTAGTGATTTAGGCTATATTTTTACATATAAAATAGAAAGTGTAAAAATCAGCAGAGTATGGCTTCTTGTGTATCGTGTACAGTGAAGATGTAATGCACAGATGGATTCACACCTGAGCCAGTAAGTTTAGATGAGAGTGCTTTAATGAGCGTAACCGCACAAAAAGTATAAGAAGCAAGTTAATACCACGGATGCTATAGTTATTTGTCCCTTGTCATCTCATTTATTTATAAATACTTTTTGAATGCGCAATTTTCCAGCATCTTTAGAGGTGCCATTTATATATTTCAATTTTTGGATTTTTGGAATGATGAAAGCTGATGGTGAAAGGTCAGAGTGGTGAGCGTATGCACCATTAATCAAGTAGATTCTTTTTGCATGGCATCCCATAATATCCCCTCAGTATATGGGAATATCTACTGTGACAAACTGCTGAAGAGTGGGAATGAAGCTGGTGAAGAAAGGAGGCTTAGATCTGTCAGTTGGCAAAGTGTTGGAGATGGGTGGTATTATTTCTTTCCATTTTTTGATTTTGTATTCCCCTTCCTGTCACTCTTCGCGGCGTGATATTGAGGGGAGCCAACGACAGAATAATAATGCGATGCTTTGCATGATCGTTCCAAAGGAAATTGGATTTGAGTCTAAAATAACTGAAAAGTCTTTTTTTAAAAGTGATGATCAACTTCCGTGGAAAAACCATGGAAATATGGCTGTAGCAACGCATACAGCTAAAGTCCCTCATATGTTTTTCAACCACAAACTGGTAACTTGTTAACTATAACTGACAAAATGACCACCCTATTCTTTATAAAAATACAAACTGTGTACATTATGGGTGGTCCCAGCTGGTATGTGACATTTGCTTTAGTAAATTTCACTTGATATTATATTGTCAGAGACCAGAAAATTCTACATACAAGATCTCAAGTACTAAGATTGAAATCCATTAGATAATCTTGGTATGGTGTAAGCATACCTGAAATAAAGTTGAGATTCATTGTTTCTGAATAATATTCAAAACTTTGCAAGATGCTACAAAGTATCGGACCTGGGGATTTATTGATTCCTCTCCCTTTCTAGCCTGTCTGCGAGTCACATTCATCATCATAAACCATATTTCCACAGGCAATTTGGGTCTTTAATGAGGACAGTGGTCTCCAACTCCGGTCCAGGATAGCTAGGTCCACTATACAGTAGGTCTACTATCCTATGTAGCTTCGGATGAGCCATAGCTGTTCTCAGGTAAACACCAGGAACAGGTGTGGCTCATCAGAAGCTAGAAGGAATAGAAAACCTACTGGACAGTAGCTCTCTAGGACGGGAGCTGGAGACCCCTGGTCTAGGATCAATGCAATAGCCTACTGAACTTACACATGTGCAGCTTATATATGTAAATACTTTAGATTCATATGCACTACTTTGCTGCCAATTAGCACTATGAATATTTATGATTATTGTTTCATGTTTACTGTTTAATTCCTAATGTCTTGCCTCTTTCCAGAGTGTAAGTGTGTATGTGACAAAACTTTGTGACATTGGCTCATAAACAGATTCCAAACGGCTGAATCACCATTTTGCTCCATCATAAACATCCACGTGGTGGTGGTGACCTTCACCTCACTGTGGAAGATCTCTGCAGGTAGTGGAAGAAGCGTTATCCTCACAGATAACAAGTACAGCCGTGGAAAAAAATTAATATACCACAGCACAATTTTTTGTTTCACTCATTTCTCAGTTTAAGGGTGGGGTGTCTGTGAATAATATATATATTTTTTCAAACTGCAGCCTGCTTCTTCTTCTGTTCCTCATTATTGAAGGACTTCTTCCTTGCTTTATGGGACTCCAGTCCTGCTTCTAGGAGCCTGATGCGAACTGTCCTTGCAGTGCACTTCACACCTGCACTTAATGTTACCCATTGAGGTCATCCTACGATTCGTGAGAAACTGTCGCATAAGTTAACGGTCATCACTGGCATAAGGAATCTGCTTCCGCCCTTTCCCTGGCTGGTTTCTGGTTGTTCTCAGTGTCTCCTGCTTCACCTTATTCTTGTGTGCAGCTGTCCTAGAAATTTTGAATCTGGAAACAACCTTGCGCTCAGTGTAGCCTCCTGCCAGCAGAACCACGATTAAGCCAGGATTTAAAAAATGCAGATTTGTTTAAAAACATAGAGTGGTCTCGTAATTTTTTCCATGGCTGTATATCTAGGGGGTAAGTGGGAGAGCAGACCGTGCCTGCCGCCACACGGAAAACTGCTCCTGTTACGGAATGCTGCTGCTCTCTCTGGAATGCTTTAATGAGCATCCTGGCAAGGGGGTTCGGTGACACGGGGAGCCTGAGTGATATTTGGGAAAAGTGGGAGGGGGTGATACTGAAGACATGCCCAGGGGGGGTGTGATGGTAAAATTACAAAGCCCCCCACACGCTCCTGTCGTCAGCAGGAAGCCAGGGGATTTCATTTGGGGGGGTCCAGTTACCGCGTTTCGCTCCAGAGTAGCAGCCGCTCCTCCCGCTATTCGGGTTCCGCGCCCCACCCTCGGTCACATGCCTGCGATGACTTGAATGCTATTTGTTCCAGCTGTCAGCTGCTCTTGCACTAAAAACTTCAACTCTATAAATTCCCTTGATTACTTTGTGTGTTTTGTGGCCCCCTAAGTTTGGGGGCCACAAATATTCACTACACTAAATATGAAAAAAAGAATTGTTCCTTATATGTGAGATGCTGAAACAGCGTGTTCTGCAATCCTGCTAGCTAGGTACGATCTTCTGACTCTAATCTCTATTTATTTGGTTTTTGAAACATATGGGGG